ATCACCCCACCTCCCCCGCCCCCCGCCCATCCAGCTGTGACAGTGCCCCCACCACCCTTGCCGGCACCCCCACCTGGGGTCCCACCCCCGCCTATCCTGCCGCCACTGCCGCCCTTCCCACCAGGGCTGTTTCCAGTGATGCAGGTGGACATGAGCCACGTGCTGGGTGGCCAGTGGGGCGGCATGCCCATGTCCTTCCAGATGCAAACACAGATGCTGAGCCGTCTGATGACTGGCCAGGGAGCCTGTCCCTACCCGCACTTCATGGCCGCCGCCGCCGCAGCTGCCTCAGCTGGGCTGCAGTTTGTCAACCTGCCACCCTACCGCAGTCCCTTCTCACTGAGCAACACCGGCCCTGGCCGAGGGCAGCCCTGGCCACCCCTGCCCAAGTTTGATCCATCAGTTCCGCCACCGGGCTATGTGCCACGCCAGGAGGACCCACACAAGGCCACTGTGGATGGCGTCCTGCTGGTCGTGCTCAAAGAGCTCAAGGCCATCATGAAGCGTGACCTGAATCGCAAGATGGTGGAGGTGGTGGCCTTCCGGGCCTTTGATGAGTGGTGGGACAAGAAAGAACGGATGGCCAAGGTGGGCAGGCAGGTGTGACCACTCCAGGGTTGCAGGCGGGTGTGAGGCAGGAGCCCAGCCAGGTGCCCACTCTTCTCCCCGGGCATGTTTCTGGAAACACTGCCACCCATGCCCCCAAAGTAGTATGAATATTATTTGTGAAACTTGTGTGTCAATGATACAAATGTGTACTTACAATGTGTTTCTTTTGGATTCCAATCTCCAAAGTGGGCAACCACTATCGGGACACAGGTGGCTATTTAGCTCACTCTGCAGGTGAGGAAGTTGGGGTTCAGTGAGGCAGGGTGAGCATTGGCCCCATCCTGAGTGGGGCATGAAGTGCAGCCAGGTTTGTGAGAAGGAAGTTCCAGTCACCCTGCAGCTGTCCCTGGTGCGGGAAGGCAGCTCCTCAGGGAGGGCCACTGAGCAGGGTTGTTGGCAATGCCATAACCATGGTGACAGTCCCTCCCCTCTGCCACCCCAGGCCTCCCTGACCCCTGTGAAGTCGGGCGAGCACAAGGATGAGGACAGGCCAAAGCCCAAGGACCGCATGGCCTCATGCCTGCTGGAGTCATGGGGCAAGGGTGAGGGCCTGGGCTATGAGGGTCTTGGCCTGGGCATTGGCCTGCGCGGGGCCATCCGCCTGCCCTCCTTCAAGGTCAAGAGGAAGGAGCCTCCGGACACAACCTCATCCAGTGACCAGAAGCGGCTGCGGCCCTCAACCTCTGTGGACGAGGAAGATGAAGGTTTGTGCCCTGCCCTCCTGGGTGTGGGGTGTCCTCTTTCCCTGCACCCTGCCCGGCACTGACACCCCTCCCTCCCTCCAGAGTCGGAGCGGGAGCGGGAGCGGGACATGGTGGATGCCCCCTGCGAGCTGGCCAAGCGGGACCCCAAGGGTGTGGGTGTGCGGCGGCGGCCTGCCCGGCCGCTGGAGCTGGACAGTGGCGGGGAGGAAGACGAGAAGGAGTCCTCGTCGGCATCCTCGTCCTCGTCGGCATCCTCGTCCTCGGCATCCTCAACGGCCTCGCCTTCATCCTCAGCCTCCGACGAGGAGGAGCGGGAGGGCACCGAGGGGGACGAGGAGGGCGAGGAGGAGGAGGAGGAGGGCCCTGGGAGCCAGATCTCCTCCTCCTCGACCTCGTCCACGTCAGATAAGGTACCGTGTGAGTCAGGGAGCCAGGGGGCACGGGGCCGGCGAGGGGGGCCCCCGGGTTCACCCTATGCTGCCGTCCCTCCCCAAGGGTGACGATGGTGAAGATAGCGATGGCCGGGACGAGTCTGAGGATGGCGAGGACACAGCCCTGTCAGGGGCGAGTGAGAAGGAGGAAGGGGACTCAGGTGGAGGTGAGTGGGGCGGGCTCTGGCACCTGGCCTGTCCCAGGGTCCCTCTGTAGAGAGTAGAGCCTGAGCAATAGGCAGCAATACTTTTGGGAACAAATTTCTTGCCTTTGAAATGTGAACTCATTAAAATACATACACAGTGTACGGTATGATTCCATTTCTGTGAAGTGTCCAGAACAGGTCAGTCCATAGAGACAGAAAGCACACTGGGGGCTGCTGGGGGCTGAGGGGGGAGAACTAAAGGGATGGGCTTTTTCCTGAGCTCATGAAAATGTTCTGGAGCTAGAGACAGGTGGTTGTACACATTGCGAATGGACTAAATGCCACTGAATTGGTCCTTTAAAATTGTTAGTTTTATGTTACGTGTATTTCGCCTCGATTTTAAAAAATGGCAGTTAGTTAACACACGCATACATCTCCCCACATATCTGAGGGCCATGTTCAGCCCAGGTGCCCCCACTTTGAGACCTTTGGTGAGGCGTCTGGCTGGGGTACAGCAGCAGATAATGAGAGGGCTGCCCACATGTGTCCCCCACCCAGAGGAGACAGTGAGCATCGCCGCCTCCCAGGCTGGAGCCAGGTCCTCCAGCGAGAGCTCCGAATCTTCTGAGTTCGAGTCAAGCTCTGAGTCCTCATCGTCATCCTCAGAGGATGAAGAGGAGTTGGTGGCAGGAGAGGAGGAGGAAGATGAGGAGGAGGAAGAGGTGGAGGCAGCCACAGATGAGAGCATGGCTCCAGCTGCTCCTGACAAGGACTTGGAGAAGGATGAGGACACAGGGGCACCCGCGATGGAGTCCTTGGATGCGGAAGAGGAGGCGGACATTGAGGCTGAGGACCGGGCCCCTGAGGAGCAGACTGGCATGCTGGAAGATGCCCCCCTGCCTGTGGTCATTGAGCTGGCTGGCTGCAAGGAACCCCCCAAGGAGTCAGGCTTAAATCAGGAAGGGACGAGGTTGTTGTCTGCAGAGCTCCCTACCAGAGAGATGGAAGTCCAGCCCCCACCGTCCCTGGAGCCCACCCCAGGTAATATCTGTAGCCCCTGGGAGGGTGGTAGGGGCAAAGGCAGATGTCTACACTGTCAGGATGCACCTGGGTTCCTTTGGATAAATAACTTAATCTTACCAAGATTCATTTTCCTTATCTGTAAAACAGGATCAATGGATAGTGCCTCCCCTATGGGGTTGGGAGGACAGAGTAAGATGACATGTACTGTGCCAGCATGAAGTCTGGCACCTGTTAGTTCCCTAAAGGAACCGCTGCCATCACCATTCCTCAGTGCTGGTATTTCCCCATGGTGTGGTCCTCAGACTGACCATTAGTCCCATGAGATGCTCCCCAAAACAAGGGTGTGTGTGCATGGCCATTTTGGTGGACATTATAGTGGCAGGTAGTTGCTGGGCCATGTGAGGGGGCCATGGACACTGTACTGTCTTGATGGAGCTGCACGTGGCATATTAAAGGCTCTAACAGCACTGTCCATCAGAACTTTGTACAGTGATAGAAACATCTTCTATCTGCCCTGTCCAACACCATAGCCACTAGACACAGTGTCACCTGGAGCACTTAAAATGTGGAGAATGCCACTGCAGAACTGAATTTGTAATGTTACTGAATTCTAATTAGTTTAAACTTATACAGCAACATGTAGTTAGTTTGTACCTCTACTAAGTCCTGTTGTATTTTGTTTAATTCTATGTTATTTGGTTACAGAACCACAAGTCTTAAAATATTGTCATGAGTATTGATTAAGCCGCTATTGTGTCCCCACTAGATTTAGGCATTGACAACAGTGGACCAAACAGATAATATCTGTCTTCATGGAGCTTACATTCTAGAGTAGGGTGATAAATGACCACAGATAAGTTGGAAATATATTATATGACAATAGAAACAAATGCTAGGGGAAAACCTTAAAGGCTCTGACAAATACTGCAAAAAGGGACTTGCTGAATTTTATTTGATAGCAGAACCCATTTTATTGATCCATAGGTATGCCATTCTAAAGACAGCAGTGTCAAAGGCTAGCAACCATGTCTGCTGTGTCTTTGATTTGCTACAACATTTATTAAGCACCTTCTGTGTGCCTGACACAGGGCTCGGTGCTGAGCAGTCCTTCATTGGTTTAGCTAGAGGAGGATAGTCCCCATTCTCACAGAACCCCCAGGGACTTGGGGCTACAAGTCGGTCAGGTATCAAGAGCATGGCAGGGCAGCATAAATAGGACACTGAGAGATGTTTGAAACAAATAGTAACAGTCTGGTTTTTGACCCCCCTCTCTGCAGAGGGTAACTTGGAAGCAGAGCCTGAGCGTCCAACGCTGCTCTCCTTGCCCGTGCAGCCACCACTGCCACCACCACTGCCACCCCCTCGGCCACCCCGGCCGCCCAGCCCGCCGCCGGAGCCTGAGACCCCAGATCCCCCACACCCCTCTGTCCCTCTGGAGCCTCCCTCTGAGGACCAGCCCCCACGTACTCCAGGCCTTTGTGGTAATCTGTCCAAGTCGCAGAGCACAGAAACAGTGCCAGCCACACCGAGTGGGGAGCCCCCACTATCAGGAGGCAGCAGCAGCCTGTCACTGAGCTCCCCACAGGTGCCCGGCAGTCCCTTTTCTTACCCATCCCAGTCTCCCAGCTTGAGCAGTGGGGGCCTCCCAAGGACACCTGGCCGGGACTTCAGCTTTACTCCCACCTTCCCCGAGCCTGGGGGGCCCCTGCTCCTGCCTGTCTGCCCCCTCCCAGCTGGCCGGCGTGATGAGCGGTCTGGCCCCCTGGCCTCCCCGGTGCTCCTCGAGGCAGGCCTGCCGCTCCCCCTGCCCTTGCCCTTACCCCTGCCCTTGGCATTGCCTGTTCCTGTCCTGAGGGCCCAGACTCGGGCCCCTGCCCAGCTGCCACCCCTGCTGCCTGCCCAGCTGGCTCCATGCCCACCCCCCATCAAGAGGAAGCCGGGCCGGCCCCGGCGATCCCCGCCGGCTGTGCTCTCCTTGGATGGGCCCTTGGTCCGGCCACCAGGAGGGGCTGCCCTCGGCAGGGACCTCCTGCTCCTGCCGGGCCAGCCACAGACCCCTGTCTTCCCCAGCACCCATGACCCCCGGGCTGTGACCCTGGACTTCCGGAACGCGGGGATCCCAGCCCCCCCACCGCCCTTGCCCCCTCAGCCCCCACCACCTCCACCTCCACCACCTGTTGAGCCTGCCAAGCTGCCCTTTAAGGAGCTAGAGAACCAGTGGCCCTCTGAGGCCATCCCTCCGGGTCCCCGAGGGCGTGATGAGGTCACCGAGGAGTTCATGGACCTGGCCAAGGTGCGGGGGCCCTGGCGTCGGCCGCCTAAGAAGCGCCATGAGGATCTGGTAGCCTCGGCCTCGCCTGAGCTCTCACCACCACAGCCCCTCTTCCGGCCCCGGTCAGAGTTTGAGGAGATGACCATCCTGTATGACATCTGGAATGGTGGCATTGATGAGGAGGACATCCGCTTCTTGTGCATCACCTATGAACGGCTGCTGCAGCAGGACAACGGCATGGACTGGCTCAATGACACCCTCTGGGTCTACCATCCCTATATCCTGCCAGTTGGGGTGGGGGTCCACCCCTCCTAGAGGTTGGCATCTCACCTACCCCTCCAGCCCTGTCTCCCATGATATCCACGAGGGCACTAGCCTGTGGCCCCACCATGACGGGGCATGTGTGCTGGCACCACACCAGGCTCCACACAGTCCTCATTGGTGCTTTAAACATGCCCTCTGTGCAGGCCCATTCTGCCCCAAGAATAGCAGGTCTCGGCCAAACCTAACTACACAGTTATACCACATAACTGCAGCAGAGTTTGAGGGCCTGCTCTTCCTGCCACCTTACCACCTAATTTAATCTTCCCAGCAGCCCAGTGAGGCAGGGGCTAGCATTGTTCCCATTTTACTTATGTAGAAATTGAGCCTCAGAGAACCTGAGAAGCAACTTGCCAAAGTCTACACAGCTATAAAGTAGCACAGCTGAGATGTGAGTGAAGACAAATCTGGCTCCAGAAACTGGGCTCTTAACAACACTGCCCTCATTGTCAGTTGTTACTACAGCCCTGTGACGTTGGACCTCACATCATCCCGGTTGTACCAAACAAGTTTATTGAGCACTTGGGGTCAGGTATTCTGTTATGTACTCTAAGCACATGTAATCATTCGGAGTGACATTATTATTACTCTGATTTTGAAACTGAGGCAGAAAGTAGATAAGAAACAGCCAAGTCCATGCAACTACCCTGGGTACATGTCAGGTACCCCTGACAGTTCTGATGGTCGGTGGATTTGGCCAGTGGGCAGCTGCATGGAGGTGGCAAAGGTGTGGGCAGTAGAGCTGGGCATTGCTAGCCTCCTGGAGATTGGTCTGAAGGTAGAGAGGCTGGGCCCGGTGGGACGGGTGACCAGAAGAAGGACCAGGAGGGGCTCTCCAAGAATGTCCTTGTAGCCCTTGACCCACATCCACCCACCAGCCTCTCTTCAGCTAAGAAAAAGAAACGGGATGACGGCATCCGTGAGCATGTGACAGGCTGTGCCCGCAGCGAGGGCTTCTACACTATCGACAAGAAGGACAAGCTCAGATACCTCAACAGCAGCCGCGCCAGCACCGATGAGCCCCCCACAGACACCCAGGTACTGCCATGGGGCACCTGGCCACCCAAGAGCCTCCTGGCTGCTGTAGGTGGGGGCTCTTCTGGAAGGGGTGCTGGGCATTGTGAGGGTTGTGGAACCAAAGGAGATACACATGGAGGGTGTTATCTGGGTGCTCAGGCTAAAGGCATCAGGTGAGTTTTTGAGGGGTGGGCAGTGGAGAGCCCACAAAGGGTTTTAATCAGGGATGGGAGCAGAGGACAGTTACATTTCCAGAAGGTTCTTTCATTCCTTTTTGGATCCAGCAAATACCTATTGAGTGCCTGCTCTGAGGCTATAGCAGTGAACAACATAAAATCCTTTTCCTCGTGGAACTTACATTTTAGTGGGGGATAGGAACTAATCAAGTGAACAAATAAATGTAGAAGTCCAGGTGGAAAAAATGCTATGGGGAAAACAGGAGAGGAGGTTAGGGTTTGGTGAGTCAGAGCGGGTCAGGGAAGGTGATATTTGAGCCAGACTGGAATGCAGTGAAGAGACCAGCCATGTAGATAACTGGGAGAGACTTCAGTAAAGAGTTAAAACAGGAGAGGGGTTCCCTAAGACAGTAAGTCACACAGAGAGAACAAATAGTATATGCAAAGGCCCGAAGACTGGGAGGAACTCAGCAGTGTTAGAAAGAAAGGGAAAGGCTAGTTGTGGCCAGAGAGACAGAGAGCAGGTCGTCTGGGCCCTGGAGGCTGTGATGATGAGGTTAGATTTATATTCTGTATATGACAGCAAGCCACAGGAAGGTTCTGAGAAGGGGTGAGGGCCACCTGGTTGTAGTTTTTAAAGCCTACACTGGCTGCTGTGTAGAGAGTTGGCTCCAGGATTCCAGAGGGGAAACTGAAATATAGGGGAGACTATGGCTGCATTTTCCAGTCCAGATATGTGAATTGTTTGAACTTGGGTGGCCATGAGGGAAAAAATGGATGCATTTGGAAGAATATCAGGAATGTTAGCATATTAGGAAACTGAATGGACAGGACTTGGGGCCAGACTGGGTACAGGAGACAAGGGAATTGGGTGGATGCCACTGCATCTGACTTGGGGTCTGAGGCCAGATACCAAACACTGAGGTGGGGAGGGAGATGCACTTACACTTTGGGGCAGCTTGTTTGGGGGTTTGTGGAGCATCTGGGTAGTGAGGTCTGGCAGGCACTTAGCTGTATGGGGGCAGAGAAGAGCTTGGGATGGAGTACTTCCTGGTCAGGATGGAAATGTTAATTGAAGGTCACCACAGGGAGGAGCGCACCCAGGGGAGGGGGTGTCGGGAGGAGGCAGCCCCAGTGTGAATGGTGGGGATAGGGGATGAAGGTGGCCAAGAGAAAGAAGGAATGTCAGGGTGTCAAGGAAGGAGCCACGATTTTGGATTTTTGGGGAGGTCAGAGGGGCCATGGGGGATCAGGGTAGATACCCACCATCTACTCCAGGAAGCAGAGATGTCTTCAAATCTTCTTGCTGAGATAGGAAAAGACTGCAAGAGGGAAGGGGAAGTTTCATCTTTACCTGAGACTGAAGGAACTTGAACATACTCAGATTTTGGCAGGAAGGCTGAAGTAGAAGTGACAATTAGGGACAGGATAGGCACAGATAAGCCCAGAGCAAGCAAGCTGAGAAGAGGGGTGACAGGGACCCAGAGCTTAGGCCACCAGAGAGGGGGTGGGGCCTGGAGGACCAGCCTGCCAGCCTTGGCGCCCCCCTCTGACCTGCACCCGCCACTGGCAGGGCATGAGCATCCCAGCGCAGCCCCACGCCTCCACGCGGGCGGGCTCGGAGAGGCGCTCAGAGCAGCGCCGCCTGTTGTCGTCTTTCACTGGCAGCTGTGACAGCGACCTGCTCAAGTTCAACCAGCTCAAGGTGAGACCAGGTCCTGCCCAGGGCATCCAGGGTGGCAGTGGGACCTGAGCCCAGGGCTCTCACACCTCCACACCTTCATCAACTTTACCTTCCTCAGTTCCGTAAGAAAAAGCTGAAATTCTGCAAGAGCCACATTCACGACTGGGGCCTGTTTGCCATGGAGCCCATTGCTGCTGATGAGATGGTCATTGAGTATGTGGGCCAGAACATCCGCCAGGTAGGCACTACCCTACGGCGGGCAGCAGGGCACGAGCGGGACTGGCCCAGCCCAGACTGAGGCCTTCTCCTGGGCAGGTGATTGCGGACATGCGGGAGAAACGCTATGAGGATGAGGGCATTGGTAGCAGCTACATGTTCCGGGTGGACCACGACACCATCATTGACGCCACCAAGTGCGGCAACTTCGCACGCTTCATTAATCACAGCTGCAACGTGAGTGCCTGGCAAGGGCCTCCTGCCCCTGCTACTGTGCCAGGAACTGGCTCGGGTTCTTCCCCAGGCTCAGGGATGACCCAGGGTGATGGGGAGGGAAGGTGGGGGATAGAAGGCTTATTCAGGGAGCCTTTCCTTTCTGAGCCATGATGGTTTTCTCATCTGTAAAATGGGCATCATGAGTGGAAAGGTACTTGAGAAGCAGTCTGTTCAGTTAATAGTTATGGAGTTCCTACTCTGTGCTGGACTTTTTCTGTGCCTTGGTTGGTGGGGCTCAGCCCTCAGAGACCTCCCATGCTAGGCCGTACTGGCTGGTAGAACTTTCTGCAGTGAAGTGCTCTGCTGTCCACTGGCATTGTAGTAGCCATGCGTGGTGTCGAGCATTAAAATGTGGTCAGTGCAATAGAGGAACTGAGTTTTGGACTTAATTCTAGTTAATTTAAACTTACATAGTCACATCTGGCTAGCTAGTGATGACCATCGTGGACAGCACAGGTATGGGGGGGCAGGTGGGCATGGATAACAGGATAAGCACAAAGGTGTGAGAGTTTGCTGATCCCTTCTCTGGAGCTCAGAAGTGAGTGTCCTGGGCTATAAATTTAGGAGCCACCTGCAATATAAGTGGAAATTGAAGCCCTGGGAAATAATAGTTATGTTATCATTACCATCGTTCTTATCTAATATCAGAGGCAAGGAGTCATTTTTACCCAGATAGAGGTGCTGAGGCCTAGAGCAGGTAGCCAGTAGGCATGAGGGTCATGCGGCAAGTATGTCAGGCTTTGAGCCCAGGGCTTGGTGGGGTGTGGAGGGCCTGGTTGGGGCCACTGGGGCCTAGGCTCACCCTACCCTCCTGCTGTGCCCACAGCCTAACTGCTACGCCAAGGTGATCACGGTAGAGTCGCAGAAGAAGATAGTCATCTACTCAAAGCAACACATCAACGTCAACGAGGAGATCACCTATGACTACAAGTTCCCAATCGAGGATGTCAAAATCCCCTGTCTCTGCGGCTCCGAGAACTGCCGGGGGACCCTCAACTAGGCTGGCGCTGGCACCCAGAGGAAGCATGCCAGCCGCCGCCCTGGGTCTGCGGAGCGCGGACCCCACGGCCCCAGGGCCCGGCCCCCTTCCACCCCATTTCAGGTGCTGTCCCTCTACCCAGCGGCCATGTCAGGGCTGGCGCTCCCAACACTACCCCAGGACCTGCCCACAGCTCCAGCCCCCTCAGGGGGAAAGGGCTTCTCTGTCTCAGCCCATGTCTCTTTTGTTTTTTAAAGACTCCCTTCAGGATCTTTGTTTGATGCCAACATAAACCTCCCTGTCTCTGTCTCTCCCTGGCTCTCCCCTCCCCTTTCTTAAGTCCTGTTGTATTTTGTTTAATTCTATGTTATTTGGTTACAGAACCACAAGTCTTAAAATATTGTCATGAGTATTGATTAAGCCGCTATTGTGTCCCCACTAGATTTAGGCATTGACAACAGTGGACCAAACAGATAATATCTGTCTTCATGGAGCTTACATTCTAGAGTAGGGTGATAAATGACCACAGATAAGTTGGAAATATATTATATGACAATAGAAACAAATGCTAGGGGAAAACCTTAAAGGCTCTGACAAATACTGCAAAAAGGGACTTGCTGAATTTTATTTGATAGCAGAACCCATTTTATTGATCCATAGGTATGCCATTCTAAAGACAGCAGTGTCAAAGGCTAGCAACCATGTCTGCTGTGTCTTTGATTTGCTACAACATTTATTAAGCACCTTCTGTGTGCCTGACACAGGGCTCGGTGCTGAGCAGTCCTTCATTGGTTTAGCTAGAGGAGGATAGTCCCCATTCTCACAGAACCCCCAGGGACTTGGGGCTACAAGTCGGTCAGGTATCAAGAGCATGGCAGGGCAGCATAAATAGGACACTGAGAGATGTTTGAAACAAATAGTAACAGTCTGGTTTTTGACCCCCCTCTCTGCAGAGGGTAACCTGGAAGCAGAGCCTGAGCGTCCAACGCTGCTCTCCTTGCCCGTGCAGCCACCACTGCCACCACCACTGCCACCCCCTCGGCCACCCCGGCCGCCCAGCCCGCCGCCGGAGCCTGAGACCCCAGATCCCCCACACCCCTCTGTCCCTCTGGAGCCTCCCTCTGAGGACCAGCCCCCACGTACTCCAGGCCTTTGTGGTAATCTGTCCAAGTCGCAGAGCACAGAAACAGTGCCAGCCACACCGAGTGGGGAGCCCCCACTATCAGGAGGCAGCAGCAGCCTGTCACTGAGCTCCCCACAGGTGCCCGGCAGTCCCTTTTCTTACCCATCCCAGTCTCCCAGCTTGAGCAGTGGGGGCCTCCCAAGGACACCTGGCCGGGACTTCAGCTTTACTCCCACCTTCCCCGAGCCTGGGGGGCCCCTGCTCCTGCCTGTCTGCCCCCTCCCAGCTGGCCGGCGTGATGAGCGGTCTGGCCCCCTGGCCTCCCCGGTGCTCCTCGAGGCAGGCCTGCCGCTCCCCCTGCCCTTGCCCTTACCCCTGCCCTTGGCATTGCCTGTTCCTGTCCTGAGGGCCCAGACTCGGGCCCCTGCCCAGCTGCCACCCCTGCTGCCTGCCCAGCTGGCTCCATGCCCACCCCCCATCAAGAGGAAGCCGGGCCGGCCCCGGCGATCCCCGCCGGCTGTGCTCTCCTTGGATGGGCCCTTGGTCCGGCCACCAGGAGGGGCTGCCCTCGGCAGGGACCTCCTGCTCCTGCCGGGCCAGCCACAGACCCCTGTCTTCCCCAGCACCCATGACCCCCGGGCTGTGACCCTGGACTTCCGGAACGCGGGGATCCCAGCCCCCCCACCGCCCTTGCCCCCTCAGCCCCCACCACCTCCACCTCCACCACCTGTTGAGCCTGCCAAGCTGCCCTTTAAGGAGCTAGAGAACCAGTGGCCCTCTGAGGCCATCCCTCCGGGTCCCCGAGGGCGTGATGAGGTCACCGAGGAGTTCATGGACCTGGCCAAGGTGCGGGGGCCCTGGCGTCGGCCGCCTAAGAAGCGCCATGAGGATCTGGTAGCCTCGGCCTCGCCTGAGCTCTCACCACCACAGCCCCTCTTCCGGCCCCGGTCAGAGTTTGAGGAGATGACCATCCTGTATGACATCTGGAATGGTGGCATTGATGAGGAGGACATCCGCTTCTTGTGCATCACCTATGAACGGCTGCTGCAGCAGGACAACGGCATGGACTGGCTCAATGACACCCTCTGGGTCTACCATCCCTATATCCTGCCAGTTGGGGTGGGGGTCCACCCCTCCTAGAGGTTGGCATCTCACCTACCCCTCCAGCCCTGTCTCCCATGATATCCACGAGGGCACTAGCCTGTGGCCCCACCATGACGGGGCATGTGTGCTGGCACCACACCAGGCTCCACACAGTCCTCATTGGTGCTTTAAACATGCCCTCTGTGCAGGCCCATTCTGCCCCAAGAATAGCAGGTCTCGGCCAAACCTAACTACACAGTTATACCACATAACTGCAGCAGAGTTTGAGGGCCTGCTCTTCCTGCCACCTTACCACCTAATTTAATCTTCCCAGCAGCCCAGTGAGGCAGGGGCTAGCATTGTTCCCATTTTACTTATGTAGAAATTGAGCCTCAGAGAACCTGAGAAGCAACTTGCCAAAGTCTACACAGCTATAAAGTAGCACAGCTGAGATGTGAGTGAAGACAAATCTGGCTCCAGAAACTGGGCTCTTAACAACACTGCCCTCATTGTCAGTTGTTACTACAGCCCTGTGACGTTGGACCTCACATCATCCCGGTTGTACCAAACAAGTTTATTGAGCACTTGGGGTCAGGTATTCTGTTATGTACTCTAAGCACATGTAATCATTCGGAGTGACATTATTATTACTCTGATTTTGAAACTGAGGCAGAAAGTAGATAAGAAACAGCCAAGTCCATGCAACTACCCTGGGTACGTGTCAGGTACCCCTGACAGTTCTGATGGTCGGTGGATTTGGCCAGTGGGCAGCTGCATGGAGGTGGCAAAGGTGTGGGCAGTAGAGCTGGGCATTGCTAGCCTCCTGGAGATTGGTCTGAAGGTAGAGAGGCTGGGCCCGGTGGGACGGGTGACCAGAAGAAGGACCAGGAGGGGCTCTCCAAGAATGTCCTTGTAGCCCTTGACCCACATCCACCCACCAGCCTCTCTTCAGCTAAGAAAAAGAAACGGGATGACGGCATCCGTGAGCATGTGACAGGCTGTGCCCGCAGCGAGGGCTTCTACACTATCGACAAGAAGGACAAGCTCAGATACCTCAACAGCAGCCGCGCCAGCACCGATGAGCCCCCCACAGACACCCAGGTACTGCCATGGGGCACCTGGCCACCCAAGAGCCTCCTGGCTGCTGTAGGTGGGGGCTCTTCTGGAAGGGGTGCTGGGCATTGTGAGGGTTGTGGAACCAAAGGAGATACACATGGAGGGTGTTATCTGGGTGCTCAGGCTAAAGGCATCAGGTGAGTTTTTGAGGGGTGGGCAGTGGAGAGCCCACAAAGGGTTTTAATCAGGGATGGGAGCAGAGGACAGTTACATTTCCAGAAGGTTCTTTCATTCCTTTTTGGATCCAGCAAATACCTATTGAGTGCCTGCTCTGAGGCTATAGCAGTGAACAACATAAAATCCTTTTCCTCGTGGAACTTACATTTTAGTGGGGGATAGGAACTAATCAAGTGAACAAATAAATGTAGAAGTCCAGGTGGAAAAAATGCTATGGGGAAAACAGGAGAGGAGGTTAGGGTTTGGTGAGTCAGAGCGGGTCAGGGAAGGTGATATTTGAGCCAGACTGGAATGCAGTGAAGAGACCAGCCATGTAGATAACTGGGAGAGACTTCAGTAAAGAGTTAAAACAGGAGAGGGGTTCCCTAAGACAGTAAGTCACACAGAGAGAACAAATAGTATATGCAAAGGCCCGAAGACTGGGAGGAACTCAGCAGTGTTAGAAAGAAAGGGAAAGGCTAGTTGTGGCCAGAGAGACAGAGAGCAGGTCGTCTGGGCCCTGGAGGCTGTGATGATGAGGTTAGATTTATATTCTGTATATGACAGCAAGCCACAGGAAGGTTCTGAGAAGGGGTGAGGGCCACCTGGTTGTAGTTTTTAAAGCCTACACTGGCTGCTGTGTAGAGAGTTGGCTCCAGGATTCCAGAGGGGAAACTGAAATATAGGGGAGACTATGGCTGCATTTTCCAGTCCAGATATGTGAATTGTTTGAACTTGGGTGGCCATGAGGGAAAAAATGGATGCATTTGGAAGAATATCAGGAATGTTAGCATATTAGGAAACTGAATGGACAGGACTTGGGGCCAGACTGGGTACAGGAGACAAGGGAATTGGGTGGATGCCACTGCATCTGACTTGGGGTCTGAGGCCAGATACCAAACACTGAGGTGGGGAGGGAGATGCACTTACACTTTGGGGCAGCTTGTTTGGGGGTTTGTGGAGCATCTGGGTAGTGAGGTCTGGCAGGCACTTAGCTGTATGGGGGCAGAGAAGAGCTTGGGATGGAGTACTTCCTGGTCAGGATGGAAATGTTAATTGAAGGTCACCACAGGGAGGAGCGCACCCAGGGGAGGGGGTGTCGGGAGGAGGCAGCCCCAGTGTGAATGGTGGGGATAGGGGATGAAGGTGGCCAAGAGAAAGAAGGAATGTCAGGGTGTCAAGGAAGGAGCCACGATTTTGGATTTTTGGGGAGGTCAGAGGGGCCATGGGGGATCAGGGTAGATACCCACCATCTACTCCAGGAAGCAGAGATGTCTTCAAATCTTCTTGCTGAGATAGGAAAAGACTGCAAGAGGGAAGGGGAAGTTTCATCTTTACCTGAGACTGAAGGAACTTGAACATACTCAGATTTTGGCAGGAAGGCTGAAGTAGAAGTGACAATTAGGGACAGGATAGGCACAGATAAGCCCAGAGCAAGCAAGCTGAGAAGAGGGGTGACAGGGACCCAGAGCTTAGGCCACCAGAGAGGGGGTGGGGCCTGGAGGACCAGCCTGCCAGCCTTGGCGCCCCCCTCTGACCTGCACCCGCCACTGGCAGGGCATGAGCATCCCAGCGCAGCCCCACGCCTCCACGCGGGCGGGCTCGGAGAGGCGCTCAGAGCAGCGCCGCCTGTTGTCGTCTTTCACTGGCAGCTGTGACAGCGACCTGCTCAAGTTCAACCAGCTCAAGGTGAGACCAGGTCCTGCCCAGGGCATCCAGGGTGGCAGTGGGACCTGAGCCCAGGGCTCTCACACCTCCACACCTTCATCAACTTTACCTTCCTCAGTTCCGTAAGAAAAAGCTGAAATTCTGCAAGAGCCACATTCACGACTGGGGCCTGTTTGCCATGGAG